GAAATTCAAAAATACAAAATGGTGCGTTTATTATTTAGAAAAATATTAAACGTTTTTCTACTATTCTATATATAACATTTTTTTTCCACATTTAAGGTCTGGTCTAAACTTCGAATATTATAATGACACGGATAATTTGGAAATTTTTATGTTAGAAATTGCTTTAGGTCTTGTATATCAAAGTGAAGATATCACTGATGACCTTCTATTATCTTATGACCATGAATTCAAGATAATAGCTGTCGAAATATATGGTGCATCAAATGTATTACATGTATCCTTCATTCAAGGAAATCCACGTTTTGTAATGAATCACATGTATCATGAAGATTCTGATATTTTGGAGATTAATCTCGTTAATTATACTCCACGCATAGTCGAATTCAAGAAAACTGAAGTGGAGGATGTTGAGATAGGAATGGATAACGATGGAAAGCTTGTTAGCTTACTCTTTTATAATGCTAGTAATAGAGTATTGGAGACGTTGTCAGAAGATGAGAGAGAAGAGCGTGCGAACTTAGCAAAAGAATTTAGAAAACGATATAGTGAATCCTTGAAAATGAATAAACCCGAAATTAATATGCAAGAAGTAGTTTAGAAAGAAAGTATCTATCATTGTGAATCTTCTAAATACTGTAATTAATGGTTATCAAATAAATAACTTTTGAACTTATATAATAAACAAATATTTCAATTCCGTTAAAGCTCCAAATCTTCAACAGTTCCTTGTAAGTAAATCTTACGAAAAATTTTTTTTTATTTATTATTTTATCTTTACACACTCTTAAGGTATTTTTTTTTTTTTTTTTTTTTTTTGAATAGTATGATTATTGCCAATCAAATTCAGTCTTTAATTTCATTCGATCTAATTTCTAGTTTTTAAAACTTTGTTTATACTTTATTGTTATAGATTTTTTTTATATAATACATTTGGTTTATGGACTAGCAAAATGCCCCTCTGAGCCTTTTGTCAAAAACTTTTTTTTATGATTTCATATAAGCTAAATATGCTTAACTACTGTATATGGGAGCTGTATTATTAAAAATGGGTTATGGGAACCTTTTAACAAAAAATGAGATTTTTTGATTCATATTATAGTACTTTATTTGGTTAAATTTTTATGGCTATTAGCATTAGAAAAAAATTTTCATTATAAATATTTTTTTTTTTTTTTTTTTAGAAAAAAATGTTAAAATAAATTATAAACATGTCGATCGCAATCCATATTTATCTAAAATTTAATTAGTGATATGAGACAAATCGGCCCATATGAAAGAGTATAGGGAAAAAACCTCAAGCAGTACAAGCATGATATAATATTTTTTTGCACAAAACACTGTTTTTACGTATCACAAAATTTTTCTGTCTTTTGATTGGCTAGTATCGATAGTCATCTGATTTGATATATAACTATAAGATAAAAATTTAACGTTAATAATATTTAGATAAATTTTTGTAGATCGATAATCCGTGGCCAAAATGCCCATCCGGCCAATGTTTCGTGGCCAAAATGGACAAAAAGTTGGGCTTCTCTTGGAAATAATGACATGTTCCTAGAAAACAATATAGATAATTTTTAGTTTATTATTTTCCCTTACACATTTATTGTAAAGATAAAATAAAACGTGCATGTATAGAGCGCCGACGATTGAGGCAATACTTATTTACGCAGTTTTTGTTAGCGTTAGTATTTTGTTGTTATTAATAAAATTTCATTTATAATATTAACTTCTGCCTAATTTATAACCCATAAACGTAAGAACTGCGCGTAACAGCACGTTAGGGAAAAAAATGTTATGTAATGTGAAAATTTAATTTAATTGAGAATTTCGCGTTGTTCTGTCTGACATTATATCAATCTGGAATTGCGGCACGGTCGCAGCTTAGTCATTTGAAAATTCTGGAGTTGACTCTACTTGGTTTTTGCAAAGTCGACTCAGCCGTCGACTCCGACTTCAACGGCTGGTATTACTAGGCTAGTTAAGCCAGATATTTATTGAAGGAGTGTTACTTTCTTATATAAACATTCAAGGTGTAAGAGCTAGATCTTTTCGTACGCATCATAAAATAAAAGCAATAAAATTGTTCGGGTGGTTGTAACGACTAGAACGAAACCGTAGGTAATCATTAATAACATAATTAGTTACATCGCGACAAAGGTATTGTTTATTAATATGTTGTATTGAATGATTTTCATATATTGTTGTGTTTATATATAATTTCTTTTGAATAGTAGGTTGGTTTATATATCATCAATTAATGAAAAGAATTATTACATCTTTGAAATAAAAAAAATTATAAATTTTGACCAAAAGTATTTTAAAAAGTAAATTATTGAATTATGAAATTTTGAAAAGTCGAGTTTTTTCAATTTCTGCATTACCTGAAACTTTATTCCGTGACGCCTTCCTCTGTTGAATTTCGAAACTTCTAGGACTTTATCCTGTAGGAAAAGTTCGAAAAAATGTCTCCATGTCGATTCATTGACATAATTCATCATTATTTTGGGCGGTATGACTTATAAGATAAAAAATTGTTACTTCGCGAAAAGGGTTTTCCAGAATCGGCAATTAATATCACGAGATATATACAATTGGTTATTAAGAATAAAACAAAATTGTTTCAACCATACCATCATATTTCCTTCCCATCAGATTTATTTTTATAAATAATTTCTTCTTTCTCCAAATCTTTACAAAGTACTTATACGGAATGATAGAGAAAATCTACTAATATTCATTCAAAATAATTAATGTTCCAATAGAAAAAAACAGACTTTTACAATGAGACTAGGTGCGCATTTATTACCAATCGTAAAATAAAAGAATAATAAAAATAAAAAGAAGATAATTATTATACGTCTTACACGGTTCTCTTCTAACCCTTCTCAACTGGTAGAACTGAGAATCTAGACTTCTTCCAGAGGTTGGCACCGGCCTAAAAATCCTTAATCAATAATTGGTTAATATGTTCTTTACTGCAGTTATTAGAGCCAGGACAAAATTAATTTTGCAGCCTGACCGCATTGTTTTGTCAGTTGGTCACGTGATCATATTTGATAGTTCGATAGTAAATTAATAAACAAGACCCTTACACATTTCACATTAAAACTGTGCTTCATTAGGTGGAAAATAATCGAATAAATTTAAAAGGCATTGCTAAACACCTTGGTATTAATTAAGTCGAGTATTGAAATGTGAAATTGTAAGTGAGTGTCTTGTTTATTTATTTATTCATTACAAACTATCAAATCAGTTCACGTAAATAACTGATAATACTGGACCGGCAGTCATGATTTTAAATTTATTTTGTACATGTTTTATTAAAAATCATGAAAACTATAGTAACCGGCCAAATTTAATTCAGGCCCACACCATAAATTTAGGCGGAGCCAACGAAATTTTTTATAATCAAAACAAATCTTAATTATGCAGAAAATTAAGTTCGAGCCAGAGTTATAATGAATATTTTAACTGGTTAAAGAAATCTTTAACAGATTTAACAAGATAACCGTTTTAATGGGTTAATTACCGGTTAAAAATTAATCTCAAACTTCTTCTTCTCCTCGATAATAGAATATTTTCAACCAAATCTATGAAATAAATCTGTGAAATATTTGTATTAAAAAATCTCAGTATTCAGGAACAACTATTATCTAGGATCGTGAAATCAAAAAAAAAACTCGCATAGGCATTAAAAGAATATTGTTCTTTACTGCGAGAACACTCTTTTACTCATCTCGTTCCTTTCAAAAAATCATGTTTCTATACTCAGATCTTTTTATGTTTATTAAACTTTGATGTATCATTAAAAGAACCAAGTAGAGAAGTTTATGTTGTATTTCGTTTAGTTATCAATTGATGATTTATTTCAACTTTCTTTTTCAAAGATATTTTTTTTCTTTTCTATTGATCCCATAAAGTGCAAGCCATTCGAATAAGATATTGATAAGGATGGAATTTAGCAAATGGACAAAGTCATGGAATGGTTTAAGATGGTACTAAACTTACCGAGGGGTTAGGTGGTACAAGATGTGTCTGGATTGAAAAAAAATTAATAAAGGAGAAGTAAAGCATGTCAAGCTATTAGAGAATCAATGTTTGCCGATAACGTTCATATTACTTATCTTAACAGACTGTAATAATCATTGGGAAAATTTAGATGATTGAACGCTATGATTGATATTATGGATAAATGTCAGAAATGAAAATAATTAATGACTGCTCGGAAAAAGTTATTAATGTTAAGCAAGTTGACGAACGACCATATCAAATGATTAAACAATTTCAAGTGACATGTGAAAATTAAAATTTGGCATAATTTTATGAATTTCTTGCTAGATAAATGATATTGTTGTTTGTGATTGATTCTGAAAACTTTAATGTCAGATTGGTAAATGATTTTGGTTATATATTACAAGTTAAGAAAAAGACCATTTTTACCTTCCTTTATTATAATAAAGTTGAACATTTCACATTTTTTACCATGCATCTCCTTCGTTAAAAAATAACTTTGTATTTAGAATGATTGTTTATATAGGTTGATAAATACGCAGTACTTCAGAAATATTGGCATTATTGTAAAAGGTCATATATATTAAAAATGTTGAACAATTGTAATAGGCCTAGAAATTCTTTATTTTTAATGGATTATTTGGTCCATTTGGTTCATTAACAGCATCATTTACTTCTTTCATAATAAATCAGTGATTTTATTATCATTAATATTACGATTCAACTAAAAGAAAGCTTAACAATTAATAGCTTAACAAAGAAGGGTAATCGTACCCAAAATATTACAATAAAATAATGATCGTTATCATTATTATTCGTACCTAAACTTGGTTAACAATTATATCATACGTAATTTGTAGGTAGACCTTGCCGATTTAGAAATTCAACACGATCATTAAAAAGGTTATTAAGCACCTTTACATCCCTCAATTTTCTCAAATATCAATCTTTCACATAAAAATTCATAATGAAAAAAAAGAAATGTCTTATATTCCTTCAATAAGAAATAATTTCTTCTCCACATCTTTTTGTCGGCTTTTCCTTTCTATGTTGTGAAGTAAGTATTTCCTCATTCTGTAATCATACAGCGACCGTGTCAAGGGTATTCCTTCCGGATTGCATGGCATGACTTTACATGCTTTGCCTTGTTTGGAGATCTGGGTGTGGATCGTTTGTGACTTCCAAACACATTTATTGTATAGTAAGGCCTTTTGTTATTGGTCCTAATCGAAGAGAATCAACTATTTGTTGGATACAGCAATGCCAAAATACTTGTTGAAATTTACTAACATTTCACTTTTTTTATTGAAAATTTTCTCACACTTGCAAAAAACCGATTTGGCACCTACTCCTTCTACCTAAATATGTTGTAAGATCTGGGGACATAGTATTTCCTATTTCTACAATCTAACGATGATGTCAATACGTTCTAATGAATTGAACTACATGTTTTATTAGTTTAAGTTGTATGGATTATTAGTGACTGCAAAGCACTCTTATTGTAATAAACGTCTCTTGCTATTTTTCCTTAACGAAGACAAATCACTTTTTTTTATTGAAAAGGTTCTCATGTGCATGAAAACTCAAAATGGTTGTTAGCAATTATTTTGAGAAGTATCTGCAACAATTAATTATTCATTTGTGACGAAAATTCAAACGTGTTTTGGTTATTCCTTCAATTGTAACGAAGAATCAACAAGGTTTGTTCAATTTCAATATATTATATTTTTCATGTATGGTAAATATTATTGATTACAATGAGTAATATTTATATAACGGGATCCTTTTATAATCTTTCAAAATTTAGCTTTTAATAAATTCATGTTATCAATTTATTAATAAAATTTTAAACATATTTCTAAATTTCTATTGTATTAAAAAGTGATTCGTCCTAAACATTGCGACCAAAAATCCGAAACCAAACCGTCCGATCCTGATGATGTAATTCTCCGAAAACTCCAAAACCTTCTTACATTGCCCAAAGACGAAACTTATTGTGAACAAAAAAATAATTAAAATTTATAATATATCATGAATTTAACATTACGAATTTCCTTGCCAAATAATAATGTGAATAAAAATAAAAGATATAAAGAATAGAATATACGCAGGAAAATCCTTCTGACTTCAAAGAAAAAAAAAATTATTTATTCATCAAGAAAAGAAAGCAAATAGAATTACATGAATAATTACATAGATCTTTCCTTATATAGATAATGTCGCCCGAATTTTTTTGTATACGCATTACATAATTCCGGCCTGAAAACGCATAACAGTTTATAGTAAATTTTTATGCTGGATCTTTAGTATTGCATTTTTAATTAACTTATTTAGATCAATTCCAAATAAAATAATGATGGACAATAAAATAATTATCATTCGAACATGATCTATCATAATCATTTAAATACCTTAGAACTTCCACATTTACGATTCATGAAATGTAGGTAGGGATATACGATATTAAATGCAAGTATTGTCAAAGTCTATTATATTTATTCTACAGAGTCTATTTATAGTTGAATCGAAGACGTTCACAATGACTAAAATAAATTGTAATAAAATCAAAAATAGGTTTGATTGGTCCTGTAAGACCGGTCCGGTCCATAGTATATTATGACTTCAAATTCAATTTTTTTATTATGTCTCAAATTTTTTTTCTAAGGAAATAGTGCTCCAAAACAAAAATAACGTTTCAGAATCGAATATATGCTCTTTAACCAATGATTTTGATGATCAAAAAACAAATTATTAATAAATTACCTATTAATTACAGTATTTTTTATATAATAAATAAGTTTAGGCAGGCACGGCTTGAAAGCTTGTAAGTGTTTAACTTGCGGGGCCAATTTGAATTATGATATTAAAAGAATTACAAATAGAATAATGGAAACCTAAAGCTTAAAACTTTGAATATATAAATTAAATAAATAATTGCAATAAATAAAAACATCAGTTGCTTAAGTTTTAAATTTCAAGGAAAATGAAAAGAAAAATACGGAAAAAGCAAAATAAATTATTTTGGATTTGGAGAAAAATGACTGTTTTGAGAAATATGAACTATGTCGTTAACATCGGATATAACATTCGAAGTTCATTTTAACAATTTTCAAAATGAAAGGTGTTCAAATTATATAAATTATTTAAAAATACACAATTTCCAGGTGGGTGTATCTGAAAACGTAAAATTATTACTATTATTTCAAACATTAATAACCGGTAAAAGATTATTTATCAAATCTGTAGAAAAGAATCATCTTCACAATAAAATGTTAAGGTTGAACTTCCTTAATCAAAAATTATGATGTAATTGACCAATTTGAAAAATCAACTTTACTTCTCAAATAATACGAAAATATCAAAACCTTCAATTATTATATATGATCGGTATGGTATAAGTTTATATTTAAATATATATCATTATATTACCTCATATTTGGAATGAGTCAGAAATTTCTAATTCATGTAATTGAGAATCTTTAAATATAAAATGAATTAAAGTTAGTATTTTTTTATATTATTGAAATAAAATTTAGATAATACCTTCATTATTCTCATCCTTTTCAAGATATGAAGTAATAAGAGACGAATTAATAGGTTTTGTCAAACTTTTGAATGAAAGTGCTCTACTTGTATATACAGCATTAGGATTTGCTTTACGTGAAATTGGAATATTTGGTATCTCTTTATCAGCTTCTTCAAATGTTTCCTTTATTTCTTTTCCATAATATCCATACTCTATAGTATCTTTATAATTCTCATAAAAATGAATAGAATAAAACCAAGAACTTAATGTATCCTTCAATTCATTGCTCGTTGGTCTTTGATTTGGATTTGCATTCATACACCTATAAGCTAATATCTTATACAATTCGGGAGTTCCTCTTCCAATATCTGGACGAAGTCCATTACAAATATCTAAAGACAATTTAATATCATGTTTCTTATCATAAAATGGAGGATTTCCAGATGAATATTCAGCCAAAATTACACCAAAGCTGTAGATATCAGATATGGTTCTCTATACAAGACTTCTGGAGCGATATATGGTAATACTCCATATATTCGATCATTTGATTTTTGCTTATCTGCTGGTCCTGTTAATCCAAAATCTGAAATATAAGAAGAATATTCATTTTGCAAGATATTTCCACTATGAAAATCCTTATGACAATATCCTGACTCATGTAAAGATTTAAGATCACGAATAATATAATATAATTTTTCATTTTTTCTTTCCATAAAATATTGTTAAAATTATTTGAAAGACAATTTCTCAAATTTCCATCAGGTAAAATTGTATGATCATGATAAATTCTTTGGTTTCTGGATCCTTAGTCATTCCATAAAACGCTAATAAGCTATTATCTCCTTTAAAAAAATCCCAATGTGCTTTCAGCTATTTTTGTAATGAAAATTTAAACGAATTATAAATATTCTATTAATAAATATCCATTGTAAATGTAAAATACCTCATTAAAATAATTGGCTGACATATTTTGTGATCCATTTAACCTTTTTAAAGCAACTTTCATAGGTTTAGGATCTGATTTTTTCCAACTTCACTCATCTCGCTTTTTAAGTTCCGATTTACCATCGATCCTTGTTGCGGAATACACTTTGGCGAATCCTCCTTCACCAATTTCATTTATATTTGTAAATCTATCAAAAGGCACCCATTCAATATATATTTCGTAAATATTATTTCTTGCACGATATATTGTATCTTTGATGAATTTATCAATGTCAGAATTTCCACTAGTCCAACCTTCAATTATACGCCGAGGATCACATTCTTTACACCATAATTTCTCTGTAAATGGTTTATCACAATAAGGACATTGTTTATTTTCAGAGATATTTAATTTGTTAAATTCAGATTCTACTAGGGCGGGAATTTCATTTTCATGGCTATTTACATCCATTATTTTTTTTTTGGAAAAAAGAAAAAAAAAGATTTTAATTTCAATAAGGATATACTGTAAAAGGAATTATACAACCAAATTTAGATCAGTAAATATTTTCCGTACACACGGATACTGCGGGGATTAATAATTTTGGCCAAGCTCTAATAATTATAAAATTTATTTTAAATACACAGAATTTCATACAAAATCTAATTATGTTGTTTAAAATCATGTTTGATATTTACCTTCACTTCCCTTCCATAACTAGTTTTCTATAATAGTAATTTCATACAGTAAATTATACTTTCAGAAAAAATAATGCGAGTCACCTTCTTACCGAAATATTTCCAACATCTCCTGATAAAATTCATCAATGATCTTTGAGTCCTGAGACAGTTGAATAACAAACATGGTTTTAACATAAACTCTATTTCATAAGCATTCCTGGATTCATTAAGTCATGTGAGTAACTTCTGGATAGCTTAACTGCGATGATTGATAGCACATATGACATTTCAGCCAACCTCTTTGTGAACTATCTTTACTTTTCTTTTCCCTATGAAGTCCATAAACAGTATAATATAGTGGTCTGAATCGGTCAATCCGGAATTCGGATGATTATAGCAATCGATTTAATATGGAATCAAATCGATGTTGACTTTAAACAGAGTTAAGGATGTACTTAAGTTACTGTATACTAACTAAATGGTGATGGTTTTATCAAAAAAAAAACTAGTGCAATACGTTAAATTAATAAAGAAATTTAAATTGATTTTATTTTTTTAATGTGTCAAAATTATTGTATCAAGAAAATTTTCTAAAACTAAATAAAAATTCAAATATATTTTAAAGAAAGACTCGTGCTTTATTTTAATTAAATTTGCCATGTCGTATGATCATTAAATGAAGTGGTACAATAATTTTGTATATGCATGGAAGCCAAGACGATAAGCAATTACTATCAGAATACGAATGAAATACTGAGGAAAAATATTTAGATAATTTGATTGTCCCATGTGAAGGAATTGATTGTCAACAACAATGATTATCAAGAAATTGCGAAGAACAGGTTCTCTTATATTACTTTTATTCCTTTCGTATGACTGAATTAAGGATCTAGGTCCTTTCTATCCTTTCTGAAACTATTGTCGGAAAGCGTCATATAATTTTTTTTTAAGGTGGAATGGAAATGGAAAAAATGAATGGAATGAAATTATGAACAAAGTAAAGAGCGAAAAAAGGAAAAAAATAAAATAAACTTACCAAAAAGACAAAAATACATTATTTATAATATTTCGTGATGACGTTGGCTATCTGAGGAAGAATTAAAAAATTCTGTAGTGCAAATTGTTTTTTATTTTTTGGAAAAATTTATTTGATTTCAGAATTATTTTTTTTCTGTTAAACAGAAATTTTAACATAAAAAATAAACTTTTATAACTCATTTCTTTTAAAATACATTTTAAATTACATATTTGAAATTTTTTCATATAATATATTATGCAATTATTGTTGTTAAATAGATTCAGGCTATTTTATTATTATTTCGTCCAAAAAAAAAAAAATTGTTTGTAATTCTCGTGTAACCGTTATATTACTTTAAATGGATTATTATTTCATAAACATCAGGAAAATGTACCCAAATGTATATTTTATTTAACAATAAAGAATTGAAGCATTCCATACCGTGCATTATTTATTAAATATTTAAAAAATATCATAAATTAAATTACATATATTAAAAAATCATATTTGAAATGTGTTTTAAACAAAAAAAAGTTTGTTCCGAACTGTATGACGTACTGTATGACCAAAAATTCCTCAAAAAAAAAACCGTTCTTATCAATTTTTTTTTTTTTAAAAAATATCAAATCTCCTTTGAAACGAAGCATCTTTCCCCTTGAGTTTCAGCATTACTTCCCCACCATTCTGGAAACGGTACCTTTTTGTAGATTAAAATCATTAATATTTGACAAAAGATGATTATTTTTTTACTTTTTTTTTTTTTTACTAAAATTTTCAAATTATATTTTACCTGAGCAACTCCATTAAGACAAAAGAAGATAACCATCGTAGAAATTTGTGCTGCGCTATCCAATGCCGCGGAAAGTGCATAATTATATCTGAAAGTGAAAGATTAAAAGAAAAAGAAAGCATTAGACGCGAAAATGAGTTATATGTAATTCACATCATCATCATAGCAAACGGGATCAAAATAATTTACGTTTTCCACCATCTAAAAAAAAAAATAATATCATTAGAAATTAAAAATCAAAATAAAATCAAAAAAAGAAATTATATTCGTTACAAATAAATAACTTACTTATTCTTGTATCGATAGGCATAAAACTGACTAGCGAAACTTGTCAAAAATCCAACAATTATAAAATTTCTATAATATTCAGGAATTATAGAAAGTCCAGTGCAAAGTAATGGTATGTTCACCAAATTGAACCCAACTTTTGGGTATTTTCGATGTAACAAGTAAATCGGGATTGGTAAAATAAACCCAATTAAGAATCCCCATAGTAATGGTTGATAAAAAGAACCGGGCTAAATAAAAGGTGTAACGTGGGTATTTTGTTAAGTGGAAAAGCGTCAAAGGATAATAGAATGTTTCTTTACCCCAAACGTTTTTTCTGGTCCAATCAAGCCCCATACGATTGATGCCGTGTTAAAAACTTGTGAACCATTAGCTGCCCACTATGATTTTATGAAACGGAGAAATTAATTAACAATTATTATCTCTAGTGTAAAAAATAAGAGAAATATTCAACAAGATTACTTGGCCGGTTGGATCATCTTCTGTACCGTCAAGAAATGGTCGCTTTGTTTGAATAATAAGTTGGCAAACCCAATAATTTACAAGACCTCCAATAACCGTAGCATAAATTTGAGAAATAAACATGTATCGTGGAGGAATTTTCATATAATGACCTTTAAACAAAAAATAAATATTATTCATAAAAGTACGAGTTGGTCGCATTATACATTCATCATATCATTACCAAGCTTAAGGTCGGACACTAAGAGAAGACACTGGTACAATGCCATGTAACCATAAGTTTTAAAGTACACATTGGCAATGGGATATCCAGGAAGCATATAACCACAAATCATTTCGGTTATCACATTCAGTCCGAGATTGGTATTTGATGATATCGCCGTTAATACTCCTACAAATTTTCAAAATAAGCGCGCCTCATTTTAACAAATATTTATTAACGAAAAAAGAAATTTAGAACATAATTTACCGATTGGAAGCACCATAATTACTGCAATTGCAACAGCCAGTAATAGTGCCCACCATGGTAAATGCGCTTCCGTTATGTATCCAAGTGCAATGGCAATTGCTAACATGGCAACAAATATCGTCATATACCATGAATTTGGAACCTCTAAAATAGCAAATCAAAATATATTTCAAGTTATTAAGAAGGTTATAATCAAATGAATTCATAGTAATACTGAAATTACCTGGGTATTTATCCATCAATTTGCAATGAACATCACTCTCCTCTTCTTTGCGACTGGCTTTAAATCTTCTCCAAATTTCATCGCCATAAAATAAGTACACGTGACTTATGGTCGCAGTAAGCATCATGAAGGAATATAGATAAGTAAAAGCGAAGCTAGTCGATAGATATACCGGACTGTAATTTTCGTAAGCGGTGACATCTAAAGAACCGGTCTCTTTATCGATAATCGATAATTGATTATATCTATTAAAAGAGAAATTATTAAATTATGAATTTACATTGATAATTAAAATAAAGCCTCTTGCCTGTTTCCATCTTTGTCTAAAGGATGTGAAGTTATATAAGGAAATTTTTGTGCATCACTAAACAAAAAGTATGCGTTAAAAATTATTAATTAAAATATTAACATTTTTAAAACAAATTTATATTTAGAAGAAAATTTAATAATTACAAGAGATTGGCGTAGTATACAATTGGCACAATAATCCATGCACCAATAATTGCACCGACCATATAATTCACTTGAACCCACCTAAACGAAAGAAAATCAAAAAGTTATTTATTGAAAATTTTAGCAAAATCCAAATTCATTTAACAAACATTTTACATGCCATGGGGTATATAATGGTCCAAATTGTCCGATTGCATTCCAATCCAATGTAAAATTTAAAATTCCAGAACCATAATATCCGCTTCCTAATCTATTCATTGTCTTATTGAATGGAGCAATTAGGCATAAGAGAGCTATACTTGTTAACATGTTAAACATGTATACCGGTACAAATTGCCAAATGAATACAATGACGAATCCAATAGCAAAGTATCGAAGCTTTTTACGTGCTTCGGGTAAACTGTCGTGAAGTGTATTGTACATATTCGAGTATACAAGGTTAACCGGCCAAATCATGTTTGCAGGACGAACCAGATCTGTTATTGCAAAAATATTAGTCCTTTCCATATTGCTCAACAGATATCCTTAAGTAAAACTTACATTTTCTAAGAAATCCTGCCATTCCGAATCCCAAAACTTGAGTACTTAAAATCAGAAAGAAACCTTTTAAAAAGGGTATGTGGGTGTTATAGAAAAGTTCTTGTATTGAAATGATTTCCTATACATAAACAATAATCGGTTAATGTGACGCCCTTTGCGTATTTTATTCAAGTAATCAATACATACAATAGCATAAGCCGATGTGCCTCCAGTACTTGCAGCTACTACTATACAAACGTGCTCTTTGACATTGAATGGACCTGTTGACAAAAATGAAACATATTTGCATCAATTAAACGCAAAGGTTTTCTATCAGTTTTTCAATTAATATTTTAAAAAATAATAACCTGGGTTGAGGCTAAACTCCCATCGCCAAATTCGAAATGTTCTCGTTGGAAGCACCTTAGACATCATTTGTCCCATGAAAAAAGATGCCAGCAACACAAAAAAGACGGAGTAAATTTGACCATTCGGACGATACAAGTAAAATGTGGATATTCCTGCGCCAAGTGTCGTGAAGAACTAAAATAATGACCATTTCATTAATATAATTCGTCAAGGTCTTTGAGAAAACAAAAATGACTCACCGTACTCAAAACCCAAAATCTAAATGTTAAGCAAGGTAAACTTGGATCATCATTGGTATTAACAGCCTTAAAAAAAAAAAAATTAAATCGAAACTTGAAAAATATTTAAAAATTTTTAATATTTACCGCAGCAACCATTGGAATTATAGAATCATCTTCAGTAATCAAATCTTTTTTTTCTACATCTTTCTCAGAATTGTCAGAATTGACTTCAGTTTTTTCGCTCATAATTAATAATATTTTTTGTTTTTTTGTTAGAATATTAGGCTACCGCAAAGTTTAATATCCTTTCTAGTATCGAAGTTTGATAGTAACCGTGGGTTTTATATAAAAAATCAAAATTTTGCCAACACTCTAATCAGTTACAATAAATCTGATAGCCATGTGAATCTTATTACCATTATATGTTATCATGTGATGTGTTAATAAATTTATTAATTAACAAAATGAAACAAAAAATAGAAGTTCCTATCAAGCTGTGCTGTGAATCAGAGATATTCCGCGCTCATTTGCAATTTATGAATTGCGGAACACCATATTTAGTTACAAGACTTTTTGACACACAGGACTAAGCGTTATCATAACAATAACAAGTTTATATTACCGTACTGTAAATATGCAAATATTCTAGTAAGTAAATTCAGCAAGCATCGGATTAATGTTTTTATCCAACTTTTGCTACAACCGAAATGTAATTGCAGTCCTTTATAGATGGATGATTAAAACTATGTCAGAACCTTTTACTAAATTAAAATTCGTAGATTTCAGAAATGGTTTACCTGAACAATATAAAGATTTTCCTTTTTAGAGCTAAATATTATATCATACCTTCGCTCGTTATCACAATCTGAATTTGGAAATTTGGTTTGCATGAGTTTTATTTAGTTACACAAATGTAAATAAAGTGATCAATCTCAATGAAATATTTGACGATAGCGTGAGAATTATTTGAATTTAATAATTCTAGTTTATGTCTTTATTAAACATCATCCTGAAAATCATCCCATTTTGGAAGGAAAAATATTATTTGATGTATCAAATGTAGTGATTTTCAGAATAAGGGAGGTTTTACCTCAAGATTAATATTTTATATTATTCGCATTAACTTAATAAATATTCGCCGATGGAAATTCAAAATTTTAGAATTAATTTAATAAATATAACTCTTTATTTACCGTTCGTATCAAAGATTGGCTGGAGACTCCAACTTTTTTAAAAAAATAATTTGTATATAATATGCACTATTTAATATTAATAAAATTATTGCTTTATACTATACAAATATATCATTAATTCTTGTATAAGAAAATCAGAATCACTAAATATTATAGTAAAATAAATATTTAGCCTGCACATTAAAGAACCTTCCAAATTAAGAATGCTTAATTTCCGGTTTAGAAAATTACTGTCCAGAAGTGTAATTTTTGCAAATTTACTTCAAAAATTCTGATCATGACATATTAGCATCATTCTTTGCTGCGACAGAAAATAGAGTTTTTTTTTTAAAAAAAATGCTGTTGCGAAATATTTTTATTTTATTTTTTTTAGATATTGATTATGGTGGTATTTTAAGGCTTCATTGCTCGGAAGTGACGGATTTTTTTTTTTTAATTTTTTTAAAAATTTATTATCAAACTAAGTTATGGAATGGACGATCAAATTTTTGAAGTCGTGTCGTACAAAGACAAAAATAACTTATTCGAGTTTCCAGCACTCGGATTATTATTATTTTTTTGTCCCATTGATAAATAATATTATCTTTATTTAAACCAAGTCGTGAGATTGAAGGTATAAAGCCACCTTCCATTATTTATTGATCGTGCTCACCATTAATATTTACTTTAATTCTATCGTCGTTATGTAACTCCAGACCATTATTATATCACCAAAATTTGATTATTGGTATTATATCTCGATTAGGTGTCTTCTAATAGAATTGTCACCCATCAGGACCAATTTCATTCATCTGATACAATACATCTCCAATTATTAATTATTCCAATTGCGATACCTTTTTGCTCATGCACGTAAAATTTTTGTGTGACTTCTTTTCCTAACTTGAACAACTAATCCATATTAATTTTCTTGTATTAAAAAAAAATTAATGATTATGATAAAAAAAAAAGATAAGTATATTTTTATCAAAAGGCTTAGAATGTCTGAACTATCTCAAATTTATTCAATAAATCATATAAACCGAATTTGACGATTTATGTCTTTTTAGTGTCACAGGCATGAAATTTCAATTAATGAGAATTCATCTATATTGACGTGATCATTAATAAAATCATAATTCCCATCATAATAAAGTTTATATTAGCGTATTAGAAGTATTATTATTTCGAGATACAACTCAATTTTAGCAAATGGCAAAAGTTCTTACCAGGACTAATACAGTTATTGTGAAAGTCATCGATTCAATACTTTGACGATACTCGCATGTTATATTGTAATTCCCTACATTTCATGAGTCGTAAATGTGGAAGTTCTAAGATTATAAATTGATAATAGATATTTCATATAATTAATTTAAATTATTCTAACGTTACATCATTGTTTTATTTTTATTGCTGATGCAAAATTTAAACAGTTTCGTTCCATAACTACGTCCTGTCAAAGTAATTAATCATTATCAAAAATTGCGTTTAACCTTTACAAGACTAACACGAAAGTACAAATTTAATTTCAATTTTTTATCTTCGATTTCTATCTTTTTTTTTAAAAAAAAACCCCCCGAGGATTAAGTTACAAAGAAAAATTTTTTCCTGCGTAATTATTATGAAACGCTATATATTTCTTTGAACAGTTAGTGAATTATCAATAAAAAAAAATTTGCGAACAATAATTGGAAAATATTTCACGACTGTCATCATTCATCAGAATATAAAGGGGCAAAGAATATTTATTAAATATGATTTTTAAATTTTGAAAGTTTAATAGATACATATTTGATTCTACATAACTTTTCTATTATTTTTTTATTTTTTTTGCTATATTTAAGAATTAAAAAAAAATATGATAAAATTAATTCAAACCTTTCATTGAATGATACTTTTGAATAAGTAGAATCTTTAGTGCACTTAAAATAATTTTGTCACTTTATTGATATCATGCAAAAGTAATGCACGGAACGTTGTGTCGCGCGAAAAATTGCTAAAACCGTTTTTACCATTCGAAGTTTTCATCGGATCTTAGAATTTAATTAATCAAGTTTGGCGTAAAATTTTGTAATCAATCTATAAATATTTTGTTTAAGGGTCCCCGGGATCTCAAATTATATATGGAAATAAAATGTTTCGCTATAACAGTTAAAATTCGAAATAAATGATTGTACGTAAACACCCCCTAACGTGTCGATAAATATAAATATAATATCTGATGAAGATTTGATTGGTTTTTTTTACTACCGTCGTCGCATTGGTGTACCATTCATGTTACTTTGATTTGGTACAAATAATAATTTGTTTAATTCTGTGTTCCTTGGGAATTTTCTTTTTTTTTTTTTTTTTTACAAAACGCATTCCCTAAAGAGATATTTCCTCCCTTTTTAGGAAAATCATGCGGAGGGCTTTCCTCAAATTTTTTTTTTTATTAAATTCGGTGGCACAAAAAGAAATTATGATATACGTACATACAAACAAGTTAAACGAATGCAAAGAAAAAAAATGTCTTTTTTTTATAAGTTACAAATATTTTTTTTTCATTCGTTATCTTGTACAATATCAGCTTTACAATATGAGACAAAAGATAGACCTCTACTTCCTCTACTTTGAGTAAATTCTTGTAGCTTTTCATTGTTGTCGATCATTTTAAATGAAGGGGCTTGCATAATTGTCTGCATAAAGCTATACATTTGTTCCACGTAATTTATTTTGTATTACAGCTTCATAAACAAATAATAATTATTAGTTCAAGTATAAAAATGGCAGCAAAAAATCTGAAAACAAAATAAATTCCCTCCCTTTCAAAATTTTCTTAACCATACCATAAAAATTAATACAAATTATCAAGTAAAATTAATAGAAATATTAATGAAGTTCAATAAAAATAACCAAGTAAAAAAGAAGCCAAATGCGCTCTTAATACCTCATAAAGTTATGTCAAAATTTCATAACATAAGATCAGGAAAACTGAGGATCCTAACCTGGTTCTTGAAGGGTATCAACCTTCATCGGGTTAGATGATTCATCAGAATCTTGTTGATGAAACCCTCTCAGGTTTGTCATTGTAATTATTTATAGTTCATTAAATAGGGTTTATGTATTATCTTATTAATAATAATATTTTATGATTTTGTATAGATATTATATGAAATTATTTACTTTACTTTAAGTAATCTCCTCCAAATAGGCTTTATTTTTATTTTTGTAAAAATTTGTGTATTTATCCTGTAATTTCCCTTGGTTTCATTATTTATCGATTTTTCATTATTTATTCTGTATGCGTAGTTCTCTCAGTCAATAAATTATTATTTCCACACCTTCAACTTCTTCTTGTCCTCATACTTGATTTTTTGTGTTAACTTACTTTTGATAATTTTGTGTCGTGTTTACTCGGAAATCTTCTACGTTGCTATACGCTCAAGGAAATAATTCAGTAAATTTATTGAGAACAACTTTAAAAATGTTGCTCTTTGTTCGCAATTATTGGATGCAGTCATCGAGCTTATAGCCACCTCGCCAACTCCTTTGACTTCATCTCCAACAAGAACAGTCTTTATAGCGACATTTAATTCCCTCGTTGTTATTCTTCAATTTCGATTTTTTCACTGCTCAAGGCCTCACCAAGCAACAACAATAGGTAGAAAATACCATCCGATCTAAAACCATAGCTTAAAAGCCATCAAGAAATTCCTTTGTAGTCACTCGGACTTTTTGGATAATTTATTGTCAATTCAAACATTTTTCTTTTAAAATGCGTTTTGTGAATAATTTTACCCGATCAATGATGAAGTCTTTATGGACTTGACGCTTGTGTTACAAGACATACTGTACATTGATGCGAAGATCACACGTCCATTTCTTTTTGTATTGTTTCCTCTGACATCCAAAGTCTTTAATTCTATATTTTAAAATTAACTGACATGTTGCTAGGTACCTAAGTTGGCAAATTTTTTGCAATTAATGGATCTTTTAATGTTTATTAATTATTTCACGCTTCATGAAAATTTTAATACCGGACAACATTATTAGCCCTATTGCGTAATCGATAGCCAAATTTATAATTTTTCTAGTGACTTTTATCTTCAATGAATTTAAGTGGGCTTATAAATTCTTCTATAAAATCGCTTTTTATAATATTTAATGTAACATTTTAAAACAGAGAATTAAATAATGAGATTTTACTGCGGTGAAATTTTGTACTACTGTAAAACAAATTAATTAGAAATAATATTAAAGGTCTCGATACTCGATAATATAATCTATATAAATAAAAATATCAATCCAGGAATTAAACATACATAATAAGATTTGAATGAAATACTTTAAACGGTCAGTGTACTTAAAATAATTAAATTTTGAGCTTAAAGTTAAAAAGTATAGATATTATGGATCATGTTATTTATTATGTTCCGTAAGATTTTAATAGCCGATTCATCCATTTGACTCATGATTTGATTTATTGGCGTGTAAAGATAAACGATGTACCATTTATATTTCTTTGTACACATCATACTTAGGTTCTTGTCAAAAACAAAGATTATCATTCCCACTATTTATTTCAATTTACCGTTTCAAAGGAATGTGTTTAATAATAATAAAAAAAGCCTTATGATCCGTAGCAGTTAACTATATTTAATGATGCAGTACTTTACAAACTTTAAATAGGATAAATGAATAGTTTAAAAAAAAATATTTAGAGTGACATAAAAATATCGGTCAAAATCCCGATCATACTACTATATATATCGAGTTTTTTTACTTTGATTTTTTTTTCTAATTAAAAAAAAATTCGTAAAATCTGGATATCTTTTTGTTTATGGATAACCATCATATGATTTAAATAATTTGAAATGATCATTTCAGATATCCAAAATCGGAATGCGATTTTAGGATATCCCAATGCGAAGATCGTTTCGGATAATATTCTAAATGGTTTATATATATATGATTTGCTTATATTTATTAATTTATAACTGTTATTTATAACTTGTTTAAAATAAACTAAACTAGCAAATTTAAAAATTTTAAACTAATATATTTATATTATAAAACTTATTCTTTATTTAAATTGTAAATAAAATGTAATAAACTTTTACATTGGTGGATTATTGCAATCCTCTTAACCTGGATGACAATTTACATTACAGTATTTTCTACTTTTTTTACAAATACATCGAAATGTAAACAAAAGTCTTTTTGCAATTACATTTTATATCAAAAATTTCAACTTTAGCAATATTTTATAATCTTGAAGCTGTAACCTAATTTATAATAATTTTTGTATAAAAATTTCGTTTAGCGAATCATTTAAACGAATGTAATTTTCAATTATTTTACAAGGTAAATTTGGTCTATCAGTTTTAGAGTGTCAATTCTTAAAGTCACTATATCTCCAACTTTAAATTTTAAAGATTTTTGTTGCTTAGATTTCTTTTTTTTCTACAATTTCTCCAACTTTAAATTTTAAAGATTTTTGTTGCTTAGATTTCATGTTTTTTTTTCTACAATTCTATAATTTCTTTCTGGCTTTATTTCTATACATCTTATGTTTTATTATCTAATTAATTATTTGAATCTATTTCACTTAAATTCTAAAATATTAATTATAATAAATTATAAATAATAATGATAAATATAATATATTATATATTAATAAATAAATACCTCTTGTTCATTATCTGATTCATTATTTTAATCAAATTCTAAAATATAATTGTATGATAAATTTAAAAATAATTAAAAATATAATATAATGTAAATTTATAAATAATTAACTTTTATGCATTATTAAACTTATTATTTAAATTAGTTTTAATTAAATTTTAAAAATTTAATTTATAATAAATATAATCATATTATTATTAATAATTAAATTATTTATAATATGGAGCTAATCTATTAAAAATGGGTTATGAGACTAGTACATTGATTTTGATCAAAAAATAGTTACGCCACAATAAACATACTTAGCCAATAAAAAATTACGCTAAAAATAATATTGAGTCTAATCAATTAATAAGGCAATACTTTAATTTTATATATATAACATTTTATTATAATAATTATTTTTACAAATATAATGAAACTATAAAATATCTAAAATTTTGCAATTAAATCTGCCTTGTCAAAAATATTGCTACATCAATTTCGTAACATTTGAGATTTTTGAGATCTTGCTATTAAAACCATATTCTGAAGCATTTTTATATTTGATTATAATTACACAGAAATTTAAGCATTTATCCAGCCAAATTATTTGTTTTATAATTTAACCAAATAAAGTTCATTTAATATACTATAATATGAATCAAAAATCTCATTTTTTGTTAAAAGGTTTTTGTAATCCATTTTTAATAGCACAACTCCTATATTATTAAACATTTTCTTTATTATTAATTTTATGAAGACTGTTTCTTTTAATAATAAATATAATTAACAAATAAAATTAATAAAGCTTATTATAGTAAATAATATTTATTTATTTCAAACCTATTTATTACTAGTCAAAATCAAAAAAATCAGACATATGATAAATCATCTATCAATCATCTGTTAATCAGACATTATCATCAATCAGCTAAAAATCAATTTAAATTAACCTGTCTGATTTATGATCGATTAGAGTTAAGCTAAATTTAGATTCCAATTGGTCTAATCAGATAATGCAAAATCGTCTAATTGGTCCTAAAGGAATGATAGAAATTATTCTTACAGTTAATTTCATAATTTATGAACTATTAATAATTTTTCAGTAGCATTCAGTCACAATATTTATAGTAATTTTATTAAAAATATTTTTAGTCGCATTTAGTCGCAATTTATTAATGATTCACAAATTATAAAATTAGCTATAAGAGAAAATACAAATCATTTTTAAGAAATAATAAAGATAATTGTTTCTTTTAGATCAATACATTATCACTTAATAAGAATAATAATATATCATTCCAAAAGGATAATTAGAGCTCTGAATAGGTCAAATCAGGTCAGGTAATTGACTTGATCTGACCTATCATATTTTTTTCAGGTTGGATAAAAAGCTATCTAATATATATATATACTTGACCTGATCTGATCCGCGGGTTAATATTTTGGCAGATCGGGTCAAATATCTGATCTGACTCAAAGGGTAAAAAAATAATTACATGTTCAGCTGAAACTATAGATTCCCACCAAAACTCCAGAACTCTGAAATTAATTTCAGTAGTTTCAGAGATGAAATAACATTTTAACCATAACCTGAAACATGTTAATAGTTTTGGAATTACAGAAGCAAATTAATAGTTTTAGCAGTCAATTTGTATTAGCTATTTTAAAATCATGATTTTTCAGAAAATACAATATAATTATTTAATAATAAAAATGATGTTATTTGGGGTCATTTGTTGTTATTTAAAATCATTTTTAATCATTTTTTATTTTATTTTTTTTACTTGTCAAAAAATGAGAAAATCTTTTAAAACACTTCATTTTAAAAAAGTAAACCTTTTCTTTCAAAAATTTGTATGAATTGCTAATCCATAAACTTTAAAAATCAATTAGAATGGATTCATTTACAAACCGATCAAACCAGGTTTCCAATACTTACAAAAAGAGAAAGAGGTAAGTAATTATTTAATTTTTTTAATTAATTAAAAATAAACTAATATTTACCTTTCCCACCTTTCCCCTATAGGACATGCCTTTTAATCCAATCGATTCAAGGCTTCCGACACTTACAAAAAGGATAAAGGTAAGTATTTTCATATTTATTTAATTAAAAAAAAAATATTAATAACTTTACCTTTTCTTTCATAGAACTCATCTCTGAACCGATCAGACCATATTTTCTAATGCCTACAAAGAATAAAGAGGTAAGTAATTATTTAATTTTTTTAATTAATTAAAAATAAACTAATATTTACCTTTCTCCTATATGACACACCTTTGATCTGATCATCCAAGGATTCCAGAACCTTTTAAACCGTGGAATCTTTGGATTAGAGGTAAGTCCTAATGCAATAAATTAATTAAATTTTTTTTATTTTTTTAAAAAATACTAATATTAACTTGTAAACAGATCC